AAATAGATTAGGGTGCCGCAGGAGGTAGCTTACTAGTTTTAGCAATGTCGTTTTGCAAGAGAGAAGGTCGTGTGTGAGGAAGTGGGGGGTCAAGTTACTCCAATGTATACTTAGTCTGACGATAATTCCTTAATTTATAACCAATTTATAAACCATAAATATTTTTATAATTAAAAAAGAGTGTATACATGGTAAAAATTTATTCCGCAGTTCTCCAAGTATAAACAAGTAAAAATATCTATGGTACATGATTTGTCTTTTCTTAACATACAACTTTAATTTTTTCTGAGAAATATGTACCATTAGATTCGTAAAGTTTTTGTGCATACATCAAGAATTAAATATCACATGTCACATATCACATGAATTAAACTGTAGCGGCAATTGTAATGTAAAAAAAGGGTGTAGAGTTGTGTTATAGAGGTAGCACCTTTTATCGGAACGACCACATCAAGCGTCATAGACATGAGATGGTTCTTGATAACTAGTCCTCATAAGACAACTAACTCTCACTTATGACTCCACGGGCCATACCCCGGACAACTGCCTTGGTCTGCAGGCTAAACTAAGTGAGAGTAGCCAGATATGGCGAGAATTTCACCGAGTGATTGCCGGTATAAGCAATCTCCCACTTACCGACCAACGGCTTCGGGCGAATGAGTTAATAAGTGGTAGGGCACTATTTTGTCCTGGGGCTGAGAAATCGTCCTCGAAGGCGGATGAACAAAAAAACTGTTAAGGGCATAAGAATGTAGAAGGCAAGGGGAGACCACTACATTAAAGATTCTACACAGATATCCCTAGTACAATTGTCATGGCTGTACAAAAAAGTAACTCTGTTACTGATCATGGATATCGGAGGCCAAGATCCGGCAGGGGAGGCAAATCACACATAGACCACAGGGCCTCTCAGGTCGATATCAAACGAAATCCCTGTGAAATACCCATTAGTAACACATGCAAATCTCCAGCAGACAACCAACATAACGTCATCAGAAACCAAATTGACTACCTTCTCATCTGCAAACGATACCGAAATTCCATAAAATCCGTAAAATCATACCCTGGAGCTGATGTGACATCAGATCACAACCCATTTGTAGGAAGGTTTAGAATTAATCTAAAAAAGCTTGTGGCTAAAACTAAAGTAGAGAGGATACAAGTATCCCGTTTGAAAGATCCATCAACAAAAGAGCAAGTCACACTAAAAATTAAAGAAGAGCTCACCAAAATAGAAATTGTTCCTACTGAAGGTGCGAACAGGAAATGGCATATATTAAAAGATGCTCTTATACGCACATGTAAGACAACACTAACACCTAAGCTGATCAAGAACAAAAATGAATGGATGACCGATGAGATTCTGGATCTCATGGAAGCAAGAAGATCCTATAAAACCAAAGACAAAAACATGTATATTATACACACAAAAATAAGGAGAAAGATCAGAGATGCAAAGGAAAGATGGTATAGTGACAGATGCGAAGAGATTTAACAGTTGGTGGAGAATATTAAGAAAAAATCAAACATACTGCTGGATAAAAAATGGCAAAATAATTATAGACGTCGGTGAAAGGCTTAAAAGATGGCAGGAATATATTCTAGAGCAACTTAAAGATGAACAGACTGAGATAGTACTAAAGCAGGAAAAGTTCGACAACGGCCCAGACATAACAGAAGATGAGGTATTAGAGGCGATAAAGCGAACAAAGAATAACAAGGCAACAGGTCTTGACGAAATACCTGTAGACATAATACGGTTAATAGAAGAACAGCAAATTGGAATATTGGTCGACTTATTTAATACAATATACAGGTACAGGAATCATTCCCAGAGATTGGCTGATATCAACATTCATAACACTACCAAAAAAACCAAATGCAAAAGAATGCCAAGACCACCGGATAATAAGTTTAATGAACCATACGCTCAAAATATTTTAAAAAATTATACACTGGAGAATACACAACAAACTTGAACAGGACATAAGTGACACACAATTTGAATTTAGAAATGCACTGGGGACGACGGAAACCCTGTTCGCTGTGAATGTACTTGTGCAAAGGTGCATGGATGTTAATCATCCAGTATATATGTGTTTCTAGGATTACAACAGAGCCTTCAATAAGGTCAGACATAACCGTCTTATCGAATTACTTGAAAAGAAAAACTTAGATAAGAGAGACATCAGGATCATTAGCGTTATCTATTATAATCAGATCGCTGCGGTAAAAGAGAACAACGTCATTTCAAATGAAATACAGATTGAGAGGGGTGTAAGGCAGTGCTGTGTCCTGTGTCCTACTTTGTTTAATTTGTATTCAGAGGAAATAATCCAGGAAGCACTAGAATAACTAAGTATGGGAATAAAAGTAAATGGCCGACCAATCAATAATATACGGTTTGCCGACGACACTATTTTATTGGCGGAATGTCTTGAGGATTTACAACAAATGGTTGACAGAGTGATAGAAGTCAGTGAACAAAACGGACTGTCCCTAAACACAAAAAAGACACAATTTATGGTAATTACAAAAGCCCAACAGCGCAAAGAAAGCATAACAATACATGGAGAACAAATTAAAAAAGTTGAAAAATATAAATATCTGGGTACAATAATTAATGAAAATAATGACTACACAGAAGAGATTAAGGCAAGAATAGGACAGGCAAGAAATTCTTTCAACAAACTGAAAAAAGTAGTCTGCAGCAGGGATATTTCAATTTCTTTAAAGATAAGACTTCTGAGATGCTACGTGTTCTCCGTATTATTTTATGGGTTGGAGGCTTGGGCTTTAAAAAAAAAAGTTTCGGACAAATTGGAAGCCTTCGAGTTATGGGCCTACAGAAGGATATTAAGAATAAGTTGGGTGGATAGAGTAACGAATGTCGTGGTGTTGAGAATAATGGGTAAAGATAAAGAGGTCTTAAATACAGTTAAAGTCAGAAAACTGCAATATCTGGGACATGTTATGAGGGGCGAGCGTTATAACTTGTTGCAATTAATAATGCAAGGAAGAATACAGGGTAAAAGGAGTCGCGGAACAAGACGCATCTTCTGGTTGAATAATTTGAGAGCTTGGTTTAACTGCACTTCTGCTGACCTCTTTAGATCAGCGGAGGTGCAAAGAGTAGTGAAACGTTTTATATGAACTGGAACAAACAAACGTAAAGCTGGAAGTGCCAGGAAGTGTAAAACTTCAATAGAGCACGTTTGGGATATGCTTGGTAGAAATATTAGAGGTCGCGAAGTCGTACCAGTCTCTAATATTGTTCATGTAAGAAATAACTTGCCTTTTTCAAGGCAAGTCACCAAAGAAGACAACCTGATGGTTTATTTCAACGGAGAATCTTCGTCGTGTAAGAAATAACTCGTCTTTCTCAAGACGAGCCCATCAGAAGAGAACTTCACAAGTCTATATCCCGTAAATAGACTTGAGTAGAGGTGCTTTCGTAGACATTCTCGAAGCCCTCTACAGAGCACCCGGAGGCATTAGAAGGCGTTTAGGCCCTTTTCATTTACCCCGAGGTGACATGGCGCCCGACAACGTGGTTAAAATCCGCACCCACGACCCAGCTCGAATTCACAGAAGGCTGCACACCATTGACTTCAACATGGGTTGAAGTCAAGAGAAGAATGGGGAGAACCACGGATTGTTAGAATGCTATCTAACACTCCGATATCGAGGCCTCCTGCAGACCAGATGCCTTCGACGTGCAGCGCCTTTGACGAGCCAGTCTTCTTCAAAGTTAGAACCCCCAGATGCCGATGAAAGTCCCGGAGTAGACCCAGTCATCGCCCCCCTACCGAAAGTGGTTGGACGACCACGTAGGCTTCGGCGCACTGGTACCCTACGAAACCCCGTCGGATATGCAGATGGGATCCAGACGACCGAGAAGAAGACGAACCCGTTAGAGGAGTTGACACACCGACCGAGGATGCTTCTTCATGAGCTTGAGATGCCGTCATCACCACCGACACTCTCTGTAAGTAGTGCAGTGCTGTGAATTTATAAACTTTCATTGAATACTTTATTTTCTTGTGCATTTTTATGTATTTTTATAGGGTATTTTTCACATGTATTTTATCGTGTATTTTTCACATGTATTTTATTCTATTTTTATGGTTCAATAAATTTCTTTCCCAGCCACAGAGTCTCCAGAGGGGGATGTTCTCGGACGCGGCAAGTTCACGTTCGAGACGCATCGCCCCGCCCCTTATTTTTCCCGTTGGCCCCTCCCTGACCTGGAAATCCCTAATCGCTACTTCAGAAAGTGTAAAAATAGGCGATTTTCAGGTCAATAAGTCAGTCCTTCACGGGCTCTCCATTTTTTAGCGGTCCTTTTTTAGCTTTCCATACTCTGTGGCTGAGTATTTATTCTACTACAATTTGGTGTTTTATTTCGACTTTATTTTAACTTAATAATGTTCATGTAAGAAATAACTTGCCTTTTTCAAGGCAAGTCACCAAAGAAGACAACCTGATGGTTTATTTCAACGGAGAATCTTCGTCGTGTAAGAAATAACTCGTCTTTCTCAAGACAAGCCCATCAGAAGAGAACTTCACTAGTCTATATCGTTGAGTAGAGGTGCTTTCGTAGACATTCTCGAAGCCCTCTGCAGAGCACCCGGAGGCATTAGAAGGCGTTTAGGCCCTTTCCATTTACCACGAGGTGACAGTAAGATGTCAATCCTGGTAAATCCAGCGAGTTTGCAAAATTCAGGCGGATAGTTGACGATATCATCTTGGTTAGTAGCCTAATCAACTGATTTATATATCCTAAATTCGCCTGTAATTTGTTCCTGAATTTTGAAATTTAATTTATTTACATCTGTGTTTTTGCAGCCAATATAGCCCGTTCACTGAACCAATCATTGTTTATGTAATTTTGAGCAACATCTGGAAACACTTTTTGAATAAGTCAAGGTGTCTATAGGAAATGTGTCATTATCAATGTCAATGAGTTGTTTAGAGAATATGTCTCCAGATTGGTCATTTTACAACTCGGCACGCATATTCTTGCTTGAGTGTAATACCTTGACATGTTTCCACAAATTGGAAGACTGTAAACATGCATTGAATTTATCAGCTGGCGGTGATCGTGGAATCACTGGCAATATTTGACGAAGATCTCCTGCTAATAAAATCATTACACCACCAAATGGGTTATGATTGCTCCGTAGATCTTGTAAGGTTCTATCTAAAGACTTCAAAGATTTTTTATGTGCCATCGTGCATTCATCCCAAAAAATCAATTCACATTGCTGCAAAACCTTTACCATTGCAGAATTCTTCGAAATGTTGCAGGTTGGAGTTTCGTTGCTATGCATGTTTAATGGCAATTTTAGTGCTGAATGGGCTGTTTGACCACCTTCAAGCAAAGTTGCTTGAAGTAGCGAATTGTTGATCATATCAATGAAATCAAAAAATTTTTTCCTGTACCACCAGGTGCATCTAAGAAGTAAATCCCTCCTGTTTTATCATTTGTTACTTTCATACGTGTGTCCAATACATACTTCTGTTTTTTATTTAATAGTCGAAGATGTGTTTGAATTAATTCTGTCATAGTGTTGAGATCATACAGTTTTTCTCGGTGCAACTCTTGGTTAAAAGCATAATTCATTAGACGATTGGGCGATTGAACTAATAGGTTGTTTGACATCATCAAGCACATGTCCTCAATTAAATCAATGCTTCATTGTAAATGTCTTCGCTTATTAGCTCGAATAGCAATAATGTTCAAATTGACTCTAAATTTAGTTAGAAAATATTTGTATGAGAAAAAAAAAGGGATGTTTTAGGGTTTTTCCGGAAATTATTCGAATTTCGAACTTCTCGCCGTAAAAACTATCCTTAGACTTCAAGGAACATTTAAAAAAAAAAGAATTGTTAAGATTGGTCTATGCGTTGTTGAGTTATGCGGTTACCAACACATTTTGCGATTCATTTTTGTATTATAGATTATTGTTATCATTGTTCGTTAAAATCAAGATCATGTCATTGCTTTTAATCATTGTTTAAATAATGTGCTTCTGGGATGTCGACATGATACGACATCGTCGTATTAGAAATTAATACAAAAGATAGTGGTAATAATAGGAAAAATCAAAAATTGTTAGTGGCAAAGTCATTTCGCTCCTAAAAATAAACCAATCCATTTTTTCTCATGAAATAAAAAACATAATACTTCAAAGACATGGTTGCAATCGAAAAACAAGGTTCTAGGAAAATAAGCTAACATAATTATTCCACAGAAGTTAGGATAAAAAAACTACCTTTCGATTAACTCCGTATAATAAGTAAAATACAAAATTTTATTTAAAAACTCACTATACTAAATTTATAAATTTTTACATAGTGTGCTTAAAAAGTCACCAAATTTAAGGCCAAAAATAAAAAAAAAACTGAAATACTTTGAATTTGACCAAAATTTTCTCCGTTCTGTTTTTTTTTTTGAATCTGAGTGTAGATACGAAATTTTTATATTTGAAATTTCAGTATAAAATTCAGATCTTAATTTGTATCTGTTTCATTTATATCAAATGTATATTCAAGAATTTAGTTTAAAATGGCATATTGAACACTTGTCAAAAGTGCGCTACTGAAATACTTCTCAGCAACGGACGCACATATGATTTAGAGTTAATTAAAACGACTACGTCGTTAAAATTAACCACTGTTTAATTGGCCTCCTTGATAGTTTGGTGTTTTCCAAATGAGACCCTTCATTGAACCCTGGGACAGGATTCGAAATGCCGGTCAATCGATTGCCTGCGGTTTTTCTATTGGCTATTAAGTTTCTCGCTGAGGCTTTTATTATTGGATACGAATTTAATCAAGCCATAAAAATTCAATTTACAATAACAGTTTCTAATAACTAATAAACAACGGTTCGGGATATTAATTAACAATATGTCTTTATAAAGAAAAATGAAAATTGGCTTTATTCCGAAAACTTTTGTTTTACAATTTTTATGTACGTTCAAGATATTGCAGTATAGTTTGAAATTCATACGACCAATAGTCCAGTTACCTGGAGGGTTTTTGGAGGGAGTTAAATGAGGGTTTTTATCTCCGAATTCTTTATAACTGAATTGACTCATTTGAAATTTTATGTGTTGGTAAATAATTACTAGAGGAACAAAAGTTATACAGTGCCGATTTGCGCTTCCACCCTGGGGGTGTTTGCACCCCTTTTCGAGGGTGGAAATTATTTCACTCAAAATAACCACGCTATTCGATAGAAGGACAAATTTTAAACAAAAAATGTAGTAAGCATTACTTTTGCTAGATCAATACTTTTTGAGTTATTCGCTGTTGAAAAGTGTCATTTTTCGTTAAAAAAACATGTTTTGCAAAGGTTTTTTAAGAATAGCTCTAAAACTAAGAGTTTTATCAAAAAAGTGTAACGACTAAAATTAAAGCTCATAAAAAAACAAAAAGATTGGCTTTTTAATGAATATTTTCAATTCAATATTAACTGAGTTATGGCTGTTCAAAGAAGGTTTGTTTTTAATTGTGTCTTTCAATACGAGTATTTAACGTAAAATAACGGAAAACGGGTACATTTTTCGACAAACACTTATATAGTATTTTTAAAAGAGCTTGAAAAGACCTTCAAAATGGGTGGTGGTAAAATTCCTTTGCACCAACTTTACGTGAGATACAATCAAAAAAACGATGGGTTTCTCAAATTAAAACAAAAAAAACGCAATAAAACTAACGTCATGTTCACTACGATTGGAATAATTTGTTTTTTCTTATAGAATTCACTTTATTTTAGTGTTTTTTTGTATGATCCAAAAGTTTAGCCACTTTAGAATACCCAGTTTTTAAAAAAAGTATGATTGATTACATTGTTTTTTGTAATTATTAAAAAAAAAAAAATTTTATAATAACTTCAAAACTATAAAACATACGTAAAAGATGACAAAATACAAAAAAATAGGTTTTTTTTCAACAAAAATTTTCATTTTTTAATTTTTTATACAGCTTAAAAAAAATAACGGAGATATAGTTGGTTGAAGTTTGCTTTATAGCGCATGACCCACTGGTCTCCGACCCTTTGACCCTTCACCCTTTAAATATGAAGGACTTTAGATTGTTTTAACATTCCTATACGTATTCTTCTTCTTTCAGTGCCTATTCGTTCCGAATATTGGCAATCATTCTGGCTATAATTAGTTTATTGACTGATGCTTTAAATAGATTCGTTGTTGTTGTGGAAAACCATTTCCTCATGTTCTTCAACCATGATATTCTCCTTCTCCCAATTCCTCGCTTTCCGAATACTTTACCCTGTAGGATTACCTTCAGTAATCTGTATTTAGTGCTGTTTCTCATTATATGTCCGAGATATTCCAACTTTCTCCTTTTAATGGTATACATCACCTCTCTTTCTTTGCCCACTCTTCGTAATACGGTCTCGTTGGTTATCTTGTCTGTCCATGATATCCTTAGAATTCGCCTGTATAGCCACATCTCGAAGGCTTCAAGTTTTTTTTCTATACGTATAACCCGTTAAATTACCTGTAAAATCGTTTTTTATGCATGTTGTAGCATCAAAATTAACCGAGGTATTGTCAAAAAACCAATAGTACTTTTTAGAATAAATTTTGGAGCATGGAAAAATTTTATAATGTGGAGCATTGGAGCATTTCGATGGAACTAATACACGTTTAATATACAGGGTTACGCAACTGTTACTGTTACTGTTGAACTGTTACCAACTTTACATCGATATATCTGGCAAATCGATAATGTCAGCTATGCCAAAGTTGGCCTGATAACACGTCAGTATATTGTTTATAAGCCGTTAAAAGCATTTGCATTTAAGATTTATACATACAACAAAAGATATTCGCAATGGAATTCAAACGTAATAGTGTGATTACGTTATATTTGGCTGGAAAATCACAACCAGCTATGGTTCGTCAGCTCAAACACCTCATGAATAAAATGTTTGTGTATCGCACCATAACTCGTTATAATGATACTGGTAGCATTGCCAAACGCTATGGTGATGGAGAAAAAAAAACATCACCTGAAATGGTTCGGAAAGTCAAGGCTCCTTTTGAGCGAAATTCACGTCGTAGTGGTAATCAAATGGCCAAATAACTGAAAATATCCCAGCGAAGCATGCAACGAATATTGAAAATGAAGCTCAATGTCAAGCCTTAGAATCTTACACCAAAGCAAAAAAAAGTTCGGCTTGAGTTGTTACGCCTGCACGAACGTGGCGAATTTCCGAACATAGTGTTCTCTGATGAAAAAAATTTCCTTATTGAACAGTTCATAGACTTTCAAAATGATCGTTTTTACTTGACCGAACGCACCTACGAAAGTTTGAGTTTACGAACGGCCACCCGAAGTAATTCCCATCTCAAGTAATGGTATGGGCAGTTGTAACCGCCGACGAACGCTCTCCAATCGTTTTTATTGAATCTGCTGTCAAAGTAAATGCAACTTATTATCGGGAAAATGTTTTACAAGCTGCTTTAAAGCCATGGGCATTCAAACATTTCGGTTGTAGATCATGGACGTTTCAACAATACTCGGCACCGTCTCATAAAGCTAGTATGAACCAAGAATGGTTCAAAAACCATGTTCCACACTTCATTTCATCCATACAATGGCTTTCGAATTCGCCAGACGCACATCCGATGGACTATTCCATCTGGTTCATTTTCGAGAGCAAGGTGAGGACTAAAAAATATACCAGTATGGATGCGCTGAAGAAAGCAATTATACGTAAATATATATAAAACGTAAAATAAATATAGAGTTTTATATAAATATTATTTATTTTTAGTTTTTTGGAAAATAAAAAAATTGTAATATATTTTAAACAAAATTTTTCCTATTTATGTCCATGTCTAAGTTAAGGATTTAAGGATTTTATTTTCATCAAAAGAGGTGCTTGAAAGGGTTGTAAAAAGTAGGCTCATTTTATAAGTAAAAAATTAATTTTTGTCTACAAACAATGCACTCTAAAAATGTTGCAAAGCGTTAAAAACATTTTTTAATTCATTTTTAACATAGGGGGTGGTTGTGAGAGTTGAAATGTTGAAATTATAATAAAATGTTATGTTATAAGAAAGAAATTAATTTTTGTTTAATAAAATGCACTTGAGAAATGTTTCAGACCAATAACAATATATTAAATTAATTTTTTTAAAAAGGGGTTGGTTGTGAGGGTCGAAATGTTGAAATTATAATAAAAAAAATATTTTATATGCAAAAAATTAATTTAAATAAAATGCACTCAAGAATAGTTTCAAACCGATAAAAATATTTTTTAATTTATTTTTAATTCATTTTAATCCAGGTACTGTCTTTTTTCTGATGGCAGGAGAAACCTAGTGTGTAGAAGGCCTAGGGAACGGTACGCACAGTGTAACACCGTAGGGAC